ACCTTTAACGGAACACAAAAATATCCAATTAGTTCAAACGGCATTTACTACATACTGGAAGCAGCATTTTAGACACAAAGTGGCGAAGTGGATATATCTTAATCGGCATCTTGGGCTATGATGTTATGCATTTCTATTCTCCTAAAAAGGATACGGAAATCTGCGAGAACTTGTTCTTACTGCGAAGTAAAGCTTTATAAACCCGAACATATCGGTAGTTACAGAAAGGAATTTATCACTTCCACGTGTTAACTGTCACTTGACGGCTACATTTCTAAGGGGGAGATATTAACACAACACGATGTCTTTGCACGAGCGATGAGCATCACGCGTAAGCGCCACAGACCAACACTTACCTACATGATGGTGTGCTGTCTTGTTCTTTTAAGGACTTTCCACCCTTCGTAATACATATGTTTTTCTTGTCGTATTTTCGTGTCGTCATTTCCGTATTGCGCATCGGGTATTCCATTACCATAGTGTAAATTATAGTAACACCGGGTAAACAATAGTACACGTGCGTGACGATGATATGTCAACAGCCGATATCGAGACTTAACTTGGAAATGCGTAATCACACGTGACATTAATTAACTCACGGGAAGACACTGACATGAGATCAGACGACTTCAAGAAGGTCGTATATGAGGCGCATGGAATGCAGACAGATGTGTTTTGTTTACCGACCTCACCTGTACGTATCACGTGCTAACGGTAGTTCATAAGCTCTTGGTCGCTACATTTGTTGTCGAGCGAGTTACGCTCTGTCAGATAAATCGTTTCACAAATGCAATTACCATAACTCTGTGAAAATAGTGGTTTGTAAAATATTAAGATCCTATAAATTGCAAGTGCATGTGCGTGCACGTGATAACGACATACCATGCGTTAGCCTATGCTCTATGGTTACATATGTACATGACATGTAAATATACCATGCGTAAGCAGGCTATGGAATGATGTCCAAAGTGTACATGATTGAGAGCAATTTTGTTCCATAAAAGAACATCGTCGTACAGCTCTGTTGACCATGGCCATTTACATAACTCTCTTTCGCATGAGTCCACAATGCCCATTCCCATGGCCACATCATCTCCAATAAACCCTAAAAGAAGATCAAAAATCTTGAACATAAATGTCAAGAAAGCAATGTATTCCTTAAGAACTCTTTTAATAAATTTCCAGAGTGTTAAATCTAAAAGGCATGACATCTCACTTTTAATTGAATCTGCCAAGCCTGACATTCTTATTGGCACTGAAACTTGGTTGAAGCCAGAGATATCCAACTCAGAAATTTTCCCTTGTGACTTTGACATATTCAGAAATGATCGAACTGAAAAACGAAGTGGAGGGGTACTGTTAGCCATCTGTACCCACTTTAATGCTACTCAAGCATACACAGGTAATAAAGTTGAAATGATAGCTGCTAAAGCACACCTAGCTAAACAAAAACCAGTAATAATTGTGTCTTACTATAGACCACCAAACAGAACCGACCCTCAGGATATCCTAGAAACTGTTTCTGAATTTAAGAAGATCTCTCAGGACTTTCCTAACCACACTCTGTAGATAGGAGGAGACTTCAACTTGTGTGATATAGAATGGCCTGATGGAAAGATTACTAGTAACCATTACCCTAAGGCACTAGATGAACAGTTTATCTCCCTGTTTGAAGATCTCGCATTGAGTCAAATAGTTGATTTCCCAACTAGATCAAACAACACCTTAGATTTATTTTTGACAATGTAAGCCAGTCCCAGGAGTCTCCGATCATGATGTTGTACTGATTGACCATGCCACATCATGCCCTCCTACAATAAAAACCCAAACGTAATATATTACTGTGGAACAAGGTAAACTATGATAACTTAAAAGCAGAAATTTTAGAAAAACTGAAACCATTACCAATGAAGATTTACCAGTAAATCAAGCCTGGAATATTTTTAAAACCACTATAACCTCTGCCATACAGAGCCATGTCCCACAGAAGACCAGCAGGTCTAAATTCACAAACCCTAGTGCAAATGGAAAAATAAACAGACTGGCAAGGCAAAAACGACGGACTATAATAAGGCAAGGCAAACTAAAAGAACATCAGACTGGACTAGATATAGATCAATCAAAGCCAATATGCAAAAAAGAAATTAGATGGGCTTACAGTAATTATATGCAAGACATAATCAGCCCTGAGTTGAAGGAAAAACCGAAAAGGTTTCATAAATAGTAAAAAGTCTGATTGTAACAACATTCCTCCTATCAAAAATCCTGAGGATGAAATAACTTACTCAGACTCCAAAACCAAAGCTCGTCTCCTGAACCACCAGTTTCACTCAGTATTTACTCATGAACAGCTATCTAATTTTCCTAACCTTGGTCCCTCCCCATACCAAAAGTATGCCTGACATTACTGTTGATGAGACAGGTGTCTTTAAACTCCTATCCAATCTACAGTGTACCGGCGAAAATTCTTAAATGCCTCGCAAGGGAAATAACTCATGCATTAACAAAAATAGTTCAATCGTCCCTGGACATGGGCACTGTTCCTCTTGATTGGCGCGAGGCAAATATAATCCCTATTATAAGAAAGGCGATAAACACTCTGCCGAAAACTACCGTCCTGTTTCCTTAACATCCATAACATGTAAACTCCTCGAACATATCATTCACAGAAGCATCATGAAACACCTAGACAGGAACAAAATTCTAACAAATGTTCAACATGGTTTTCGTTCTAAGCACTCTACCGAAACTCAACTTATTTTAACTATTGATGACTTAGCCAGAAACATAGATAAAAACAAACACACAGATATTGCACTTTTAGATTTCTCAAAGGCCTTTGACAAAGTTCCCCATCAAAGGCCACTATCTAAACTTACTTATTGTGGTATAAATAGACAAACATGTTTTTGGATATCTCAGTTTTAGAATTCTAGATCCCAGAAAGTCTTGCTAAATGGAATAGAATCGGATAGCTATCCTGTCCTCTCGAGGGTCCCTCAGGGGACAGTCCTCGGCCCTCTACTATTTTTGGTGTATATAAATGATATTGTCGACTCAGTTTCATGTAATATAAAACTATATGCTGATGACTGTCTATTATATACACAAATAGATTCTATTGAAGACTGTGCTAAGTTGAACAATCACCTTAAGTCTTTAGAAAAATGGGAAGAAAAGTGGCAAATGAAGTTTAACACCAGTAAATGTTCTATTATTAATGTATCGAAAAAAAGAAACATCATTAATTATAATTATACCCTTCATAATCAGATTTTAGAAAATGTATATACTAACAAATATCTTGGTGTCACTTTCAGTTCAGGCCTAACTTGGGGCAAACACATTCAATCAGTGACCAACAAGCCCAATAAGACCTTGGGCTTCCTACGTCGAAATACATCTTCATGTACTAGGAAAGTTAAATCACAGGCATACACTACTCTTGTAAGACCAGTTTTAGAATATGCCGCAACTTGTTGGGACCCCTATTCCATCTCAACCACATACAACAATTAGACAATGTACAACGTAGAGTAGCGAGATACACTTTTAATGAGTATACAGGTCTAGAGATACAGGCTGTATTACAAACATTTATCACAAAGAAAGGCAAAAGCTAGATTGTCAATGCTATACAAGATCTCGCATAACATCGTTAAAATTAACCCATCATCATACTGGACATCAGGTGACAGACGAACAAGGGGGGGGGGGGCACATACAATAAACACAATATCTACCGCAAAAGACGCCTACAAATCCTCTTTTCCCCCCAAGAACTATTATCACCTGGAACTCATTACCAACGTCACTGGCCCTTAGTGAGGAATTACTTTCTTTAAAATCCTCACTTGAAGGTTACCACTAGTCTCTTTACTAATTTTACATCCTGGTTATATGTACATAGTTTTAATATAAAACATAAACATTACAACAAAAAAAACCACTTTGAAATGCCACCTCCTAGGGTCAATTGCACTCCAACCTTGGAGTTCTGATCCTTGTAATGGAAGAAGAAGAACAGTAAATTGACAATTAAATATAGTAATTCAATTTATTTCCGTCGTTTTTGGTATAGTAAAGAAAATAAGTGTCATTGTATAAATTCTAACCCTCTGCAAAAAGTTCCGATTTTTTTCAAGGTAGACAACTCTTATCAGGATCAAAATTATTGTAAAAAAACTAAATGAATTATAAAGACTTTGTGAGTATTTGGTTCCATTTTCACTCTTTTTGTATGAAACTATTTGTTTGCTTTTAGCTTGTATTTAGTTACTTTTATCCATACCATTTCAATAAAAAACGCTTTTTGTAACATGTTGTAGATATTTTATGATAAATAAAATATTTGTAGGGTTGATTAGCAACGTTTCTTTTCATTATTGTATTGTTGTAATAGTTTTGAACAATGCCACACACTCAAAAAATGTGAAAGTGTTGAATTTGACCAAAAAAATATGGAAGGCTTTGATTTTCATAAAATCATCTCTACATATTGACATAACCATTATGTGAAACTTTCATTGAATTCTGCTGGCTAACTGAGAAAGGGTGGAGCCACCTTAACTGCTAAGTAATATGCGAGCAATGAAATTCTACCTAAAACGAATCAACACGAGACAGTTAAAACTTGACATGGACAAAACCTAATTTGGATTATTTCGCCACGGTTACTGTAGATAGGGCTGTAAAGCTTTTATTTTATCTGAGAGGTTCTGGGGAATATAATGCATATATCTTCTCTTACCAAATAGCCTTTGCTGTGAAGTTATACACTTATAACGTCAGGTTGTGCGGTTTCCTTGTAATGCAAAATGAATCTGCCGCAAACTATTTGCGGAGGGAAACATTGTTTAAATAAAACGTATTGGCCGCCATAACTATCTGACCTTAACTTAACGTATTTTAACTTACGATTTTGTTTGTTTCGTTAGGCAGTCTGCGCTAGTTGGATTGCTCTGTATGTGACTAGAAGTAGATGTTATTTTGACTTTCAGGAGTAACTGTCACCCTGGAGTGGCGAGCGTTCTCCGAGAACACTATCAAAAACCTTACTTCCTACCGAACGACACAGAATCAAGTGCGCTAGACTGGATCTTCATGGGCGGAACCGGGCTGGGAGCCTTCATACACGTAAGTAGTAGTATTATATAGGTAGGAGACGCGCACGAACGGGCTGGGAGCCTTCCAGTAGGGGACGCGTGTAACCGGTCTGGGAGCCTTCATACACGGAAGTGGTAGTATTATATAAGTAGGGGACGCGGGTAACCGGGCTGGGAGCCTTCATACACGTAAGTAGTAGTATTATATAGGTAGGAGACGCGCACGACCGGGCTGGGAGCCTTCAAGTAGGGGACGCGTGTAACTGGTCTGGGGGCCTTCATACACGAAAGTAGTAGTGCTATATAGGTAGGGGACGCGCGTATTATTACCGTATTTGTTGTTGCTTTGCTCTGGTGTTAAGTTATGTAACTCAGCGTTATAACATCTTCTTTCTTTGTGTTATTTCGTTGTATGTTATTTTCTCTTGACGTTATTTTGTTGTTTTTCATTTTTCCTTTCGTAATTTTGATCGGCGTTTTTCCGTATTTCTTTGTTTTTGGTTTTGGTTCTTTTCCCCATTTCGTTACATTTAGGATTTCGCCCATCATGATGACGTCTGTCTCTTGGGTGTTATATATGGTTATTTTGCTAGGCGTCAGGTCTTCTTTTTAGTTTCGTTGTTTATTAATATGTTAAATCTTTGAGTTACATCGTCGTTCTATTTCTTATCCTTTTTTCTTTATCCATTGATTTGTAGTCTGTTATCTTGGTGTGACGTAGTTTTCGCCTTATTCTTATTTAGTTATCTCTATTGGTGTTTATCCTGGCTTTTGCTGTTACTTTGGTTGTGGCTACGAATATATGTACAGATTGTTATTTAGCATCACTATGGTATTGTTGTTTTGGACGAAATGTGCAGAAGTAAAACAACAAAATAACAAAGAAACAGAATAACACAAATCAACCACCATATATAGCTCCATCCCAGCTATCTTTGAACAGTCTAACTCTTCTTGTGATGTAGTTCTCTTTTGTTGTGTTATAGTTAGACTACGTACAGCGCCCGTCCTGGCAGGCGCAGATCTCCGGGGAGAAGACGTGGAGTCTGATCCCTACCCCGGAGTGTGAACACGTTTGCCACAGCATGAACGTCACAGTGCAGAAAGGGGACATAAGTAAGTGTTGTACTATAAATTAATGCTTCATACACTATATGTGTCGTAAGTCTCACACGTACTGTATATCGGGGAATTTTCGCCGCTGTTTAACTTTCGCCTTTAAATGTTTTCGCCCTCCGTAAAGGGGGCGAATTTATCATGAAAGCGAATATTATTTTACAACATACTTGACATACTAATTCCAATTGAACAGCAAAAATGGATTTACCAATGAAGGAGGAAAGTTTTATTAGACGAAAGCTTCCCGGCATACAATACTTTAAATACTGTTAAACACACCTTGTCATCTCAAAAAATCTCACACATTATATAATACCACAATGTAGAATGAAATGTTGAAGGACATCCATTATACGACACATATTGTCAGAAAACACTGTAAAAAACATCCATTATACGACACATATTGTCAGAAAACACTGTAAGAAACATCCATTATACGACACATATTGTCAGACAACATTGTAAGAAACATCCATTATACGACACATATTGTCAGAAAACACTGTAAGAAACATCCATTATACGACACTTATTGTCAATTATCAGACAACATTGTAAGAAACATTCATTATACGACACACATTGTCAGACAATATTGTGAGAAACATCCATTAAAAGACACATTGTCAGACAACATTGTAAGAAACATCCATTAAAAGAGACATATTGTCAGACAACATTGTAAGAAACGTTCATTATACGACACACATTGTCAGACAACATTGTAAGGGACATCCATTAAAAGAGACATATTGTCAGACAACATTGTAAGAAACGTTCATTATACGACACACATTGTCAGACAACATTGTAAAAAACATCTATTATATGACACACATTGTCAGACAATATTGTAAGAAACATCCATTATACGACACTTAATGTCAGACAACATTGTAAGAAACATCCATTATACGACACATATTGTCAGAAAACACTGTAAGAAACATCCATTATACGACACATATTGTCAGAAAACACTGTAAGAAACATCCATTATACGACACATATTGTCAGACAACATTGTAAGAAACATCCATTATACGAATCAAATTGTCAGACAACATTGTAAGAAACATCCATTAAAAGAGACATATTGTCAGACAACATTGCAAGAAACATTCATTATACGACACACATTGTCAGACAACATTGTAAAAAACATCTATTATACGACACACATTGTCAGACAATATTGTAAGAAACATCCATTATACGACACTTAATGTCAGACAACATTGTATGAAACATCCATTATACAACACTTATTGTCAGACAACATGGTAAGGAACATCCATTATACGACACATGTTGTCAGACAACATTGTAAGAAACATCCATTATACGACACATATTGTCAAACAACATTTTAAGAAACATCCATTAAAAGACGCACATTGTCAGACAACATTGTAAGAAACATCCATTATACGACACATATTGTCAGACAACATTGTAAGAAACATCCATTATAAGACACACACATTGTCAGACAACATTGTGAGAAACATCCATTATACGACACATATTGTCAGAAAACACTGTAAGAAACATCCATTATACGACACATATTGTCAGAAAATACTGTAAGAAACAACCATTAAGCGACACACATTGTCAGACAAGATTGCAAGAATCATCCATTAAAAGACACATATTGTCAGACAACATTGTAAGAAACATTCATTATACGACACACATTGTCAGACAACATTGTAAGAAACATCTATTATACGACACACATTGTCAGACAATATTGTAAGAAACATCCATTATTCGACACTTAATGTCAGACAACATTGTAAGAAACATCCATTATACAACACTTATTGTTAGACAATATTGTAAGGAACATCCATTATACGACACACATTGTCAGACAACATTGTAAGAAACATCCATTTTACGACACATATTGTCAGACAACATTGTAAGAAACATCCATTATACGACACATATTGTCAGACAACATTGTAAGAAACATTGATTATAAGACACACACATTGTCAGACAACATTGTAAGAAACATCCATTATACGACACTTATTGTCAGACAGCAATGTAAAAAACATCCATTTTACGACACATATTGTCCGACAACATTGTTAGAAACATCCATTATACGACACATATTGTACGACAACATTGTAGGAATCATCCATTATACGACACATATTGTCAGACAACATTGTAAGAAACATTCATTATAAGACACACACATTGTCAGACAACATTGTAAGAAACATCCATTATACGACACTTATTGTCAGACAGCGATGTAAAAAACATCCATTTTACGACACATATTGTCCGACAACATTGTAAGAAACATACATTAGACGACACATATTGTCGGACAACATTGTTAGAAACATCCATTATACGACGCCTATTGTCAGACAACACTGAAAGAAACATCAATTATACGACACGTATTTGTCAGACAACATTGTAAGAAACATCCATTATACGACACTTATTATCAGACAGCATTGTAAGAAACATTCATTATACGACACACATTGTCAGACAACATTGTAAGAAACATTCATTATACGACACACATTGTCAGAAAACATTGTAAGAAACATCCATTATACAACACTTATTTGTCAGACAACATTGTAAGAAACCTCCATTTTACGGCACTTATTGTCAGACAACATTGTAAGAAACATCCATTATACGACACACATTGTCAGACAACATTGTAAGAAACATCCATTAAAAGACGCACATTGTCAGACAACATTGTAAGAAACATCCATTATACGACACTTATTGTCAAACAACATTGTAAGAAACATCCGTTATACGACACACATTGTCAGACAACATTGTAAGAAACATCCATTATACGACACACATTGTCAGACAACATTGTAAGAAACATCCATTAAAAGACACATATTGTCCGACAACACTGTAAGAAACATCCATTATACGACACTTATTTGACAAAAAACATTGTAAAAAACATCCATTATACGACACACATTGTCAGACAACATTGTAAGAAACATCCATTATACGACACTTATTGTCAGACAACACTGGAAGAATCATCCATTATACGACACATATTGTCAGATATCACTGTAAGAAACATCCATTATACGACACATATTGTCAGACAACACTGAAAGAAACATCCATTATACGCCACTTATTTGTCAGACAACATTGTAAGAAATATCCATTATACGACACACATTGTCAGACAACATTGTAAGAAACATCCATTATACGACACATATTGGCAGACAACACTGTGAGAAACATTGATTATACGACACACATTGTCAGACAACACTGAAAGAAACATCCATTATACGACTATTTTGTCAGACAACATTGTAAGAATCATCCAATATACGACACACATTGTCAGACAACATTGTAAAAAACATCCATTATACGACACATATTTGACAGAAAACATCGTAAGAAACATCCATTATACGACACACATTGTCAGACAACATTGTAAGAAACATCCATTATACGCACTTAATGTCAGACAACACTAGAAGAAACATCCATTATACGACGCTTATTGTCACATATCATTCTAAGAAACATCCATTATACGACACACATTGTCAGACAACATTGTAAGAATCATCCATTATACGACGCTTATTGTCAGATATCACTGTAAGAAACATTCATTATACGACACATATTGTCAGACAACACTGAAAGAAACATCCATCATACGCCACTTATTTGTCAGACAACATTGTAAGAAACATCCATTATACGACACATATTGTCAGACAACATTGTAAGAAACATCCATTATAAGACACACACATTGTCAGACAGCATTGTAAGAAACATCCATTATACGACACTTATTGTCAGACAACACTGAAAGAAACATCCATTATACGACACTTTTTGTCAGACAACATTGTAAGGAACATCCATTATACGACACACATTGTCAGACAACATTGTAAGAAACATTCATTATACGACACATCTTGTCAGACAACATTGTAAGAAACATCCATTATACGACACAGATTGTCAGACAACATTATAAGAAACATCCATTATACGACACATATTGTCAGACAACACTGTGAGAAAAATCCATTATACGACACACATTGTCAGACAACATTGTAAGAAGCATCCATTATACGACACATATTGTCAGACAACATTATAAGAAACATCCATTATACGACACATATTGTCAGACAACACTGTGAGAAACATCCATTATACGACACACATTGTCAGACAACATTGTAAGAAGCATCCATTATACGACACTTATTGCCAGACAGCATTGTAAGAATCATCCATTATACGACACTTAATGTCAGACAACATTGTAATACGACACTTATTGTCAAACAACATTGTAAGAAACATCCGTTATACGACACACATTGTCAGACAACATTGTAAGAATCATCCATTATACGACACACATTGTCAGACAACATTGTAAGAATCATACATTATACGACGCTTATTGTCAGATATCACTGTAAGAAGCATTCATTATACGACACATATTGTCAGACAACATTGTAAGAAGCATCCATTATACGACACATATTGTCAGACAACATTGTAAGAAGCATCCATTATACGACACTTATTGCCAGACAGCATTGTAAGAATCATCCATTATACGACACTTAATGTCAGACAACATTGTAATACGACACTTATTGTCAAACAACATTGTAAGAAACATCCGTTATACGACACACATTGTCAGACAACATTGTAAGAAGCATCCATTATACGACACTTATTGTCAGACAGCAATGTAAAAAACATTCATTAAACGACACATATTGTCAGACAACATTGTAAGAAACATCCATTACGACACTCATTGTCAGACAACATTGTAAGAAACATCAATTATGAGACACATATTGTCAGACAACATTGTAAGAAACATCTATTATACGACACACATTGTCAGACAAGATTGCAAGAATCATCCATTAAAAGACACATATTGTCAGACAACATTGTAAGAAACATCCATTATACGACACATATTGTCAGACAACATTGTAAGGATCATCCATTATACGACACACATTGTCAGACAACATTGTAAGAAACATTCATTATACGTCACATATTGTCAGACAACATTGTAAGAAACATCCATTATACGACACTTATTGTCAGACAACACTGAAAGAAACAGCCATTATACGACACTTTTTGTCAGACAACATTGTAAGGAACATCTATTATACGACACACATTGTCAGACAACATTGTAAGAAACATTCATTATACGTCACATATTGTCAGACAACATTGTAAGAAACATCTATTATACGACCCACATTGTCAGACAAGATTGCAAGAATCATCCATTAAAAGACGCATATTGTCAGACAACATTGTAAGAAACATCTATTATACGACACACATTGTCAGACAACATTGTAAGAAACATCCATTATAAGACACACACATTGTCAGACAGCATTGTAAGAAACATCCATTATACGACACTTATTGTCAAACAACATTTTAAGAAACATCCGTTATACGACTTTTTTGTCAGACAACATTGTAAGAATCATCCATTATACGACACTTAATGTCAGACAACATTGTAAGAAATATCCATTATACGACACACATTGTCAGACAGCATTGTAAGAAACATCCATTATACGACACTTATTGTCAGACAACACTGAAAGAAACAGCCATTATACGACACTTTTTGTCAGACAACATTGTAAGGAACATCTATTATACGACACACATTGTCAGACAACATTGTAAGAAACATCCATTATTCGACACATATTGTCAGACAACATTGTAAGATACATCCATTATACGACACATATTGTCAGACAACATTGTAAGAAACATCCATTACGACACATATTTTCAGACAACACTTTAAGATAGATATTGTAAGATACACAAATTTATAAAACACAAATGCAAGACACATATAAAAACAACGTAAGATACATACATTGTAAGACACATACACTGTAATATACATATTGCAAGAAACACACATTTTAAGACACATACATTGTAAGATACATACATTGTAAGACACTTACATTGTAAGACACATACACTGTAATATACATATTGCAAGATACACACATTGTAAGATGCATACATTGTAAGACATATACACTGTAAGCTACATATTGTAAGATACATACATTGTAAGACACTTACATTGTAATATACATATTGTCAGATACACACATTTTAAGACACACACATTGTAAGATACATATTGTGAGATACACTCATTGTAAGATACATGTTTTTAGATACACACATTTATAAAACACATACTGCAAGACACATACATTGTAATGTACAAATTGTAATATATACACATTGTAAGACACATACATTGTAAGATATATATTGTAAAATACATATTGTAAGATACACACATTGTAAGACACATACATTGTAAAATACATATTGTCAGATACACACATTGTAAGACACATACATTGTAAGATCTATATTGTAAAATACATATTGTAAGATACACACCTTGTAAGACACATACATTGTAAAATACATATTGTCAGATACACACATTGTAAGACACATACACTGTAAGATACATATTGTAAGACACACCTATTGTCAGATACATATTGTAAGATACAAACATTGTAAGACACATACGTTGTAAGATACATATTGTCAGATACACACATTGTAAGACACATACATTGCAAGATACATATTGTCAGACACACACATTGTAAGACACATACATTGTAAGATCTATATTGTAAAATACATATTGTAAGATACACACATTGTAAGACACATTCATTGTAAGATACACATTGTCAGAAACACACATTGTAAGACACATACACTGTAAGATACATATTGTAAGACACACACATTGTAAGATACATATTGTAAGATACTCACATTGTAAGATACATGCATTGTAAGATACATATTGTATTTTCACAGTCATATGAATTCAACAAACTTACACAAGCCATGCCTTTTTTGACATGTCGTCCCAAGGACTATACAATAAGACTGAATACCGCCTAGTCCAAATGACATTTCCCTCTTAAGTTGTCCTTGAAGATATTTAAAGATATTTTTACCAGTCGTAGACAGAGGATTTTGTTGATAGTAAATGTATTGGTGCTTTCACGTAACGACAAGGCGAAAGTAATAGGAAGAAGGTATTGCTTGTGAGATTGTCTATTCACTGAGTAAATACTATAAAAACGGGTCTTCGAATCAAGTGGTGAGGATAGACATAAGGTGTTTTATTTATACAGCTGTACGTGTTATATTGAGTATGTCTTACACTAGTTTTACATTGTACGTGTTATATTGAGTATGTCTTACACTTGTTTTACATTGTATGTGTTGACATTCGCATTATAGTGTCAAACATATTTAAGATAATACATATTGCACACATTGGAAGCTTCGTACATATCATAGCGTCATAGTCACGTCCAACACATGTTGTAACATACATTGTAAGTATCACAAATCGTAAGTCCTTCGAACAAGTCCTACACACACAGTGTATCACACATCGTTCACCACTCACATTCACTGTACGTATCACACTATAAGCGTCACATATCAAAAATACCATAAATATCATTGTAAGTTTAACATTGTAGGTATCGAGCAGTGAAGTCTTACCAGAAGTCGATTTAAGACTGAACAATAAATTGTATATCTTGTCACTGATGCTTGAAGTTAAACCCATTAAGTCTCTCTTATTATGAGTTTAAAATGTTTGCTGCTTACACAAATTGAGAATATTCATTATCAAATTTTAGCTGAAACAAGAAAAATATTTCAAAACAATTCAAAATAACGCTGAGCAGTACTTACCAGATCCAGTATTACTGAGTATAATTTTGTCTTACTAATGGATGAGAAAGGTTAGTAAATCAGGTATTTATTATGTAACATGTTCGTTTTTTATCTTTCTTTATAGTTGTAGTGGATACAAACCAATGGTACCACGCCACCTACATCCACCCAGGGGAGATAAGCATCACCATCGGGTCGGAGTACGACTAGTGACCACAATGACTATATCAGTTATCAATGTGTCTAAATCAGTTATAAAAGCGTCGGAATACGTCAATCCTAAACGGGTCGGAATACGACTAGTGATCATACTATCTAAATCAGTTATCAACGGGTCGGAATACGACTAGTGATCATACTATCAAAATCAGTTATCAACGGGTCGGAATACGACTAGTGAACGAAGTACGATTAGTGACCACGCCTTCTTCTCCTATCATCGGGTTGGAGTTTGACCTGTGATCGTTTTATCTAATGTCCTGGGACGAACCCATTCTGTGATTTGGATTAAATGTCTCATAATAGTTTTATAATGACAGATGTAATTTGTCTATAGTTTCATTATAGTTATGTAAGTAAACTATAAGTAAGCGGAAGTGTGATTGTTGTTACATTTATATAAGTTAGGGAACGTGGACGTGTGATTGCTGTAACATTTATATAAGTTAGGGTACGTGGACGTGTGATTGCTGTAACATTTATATACGTTAGGGTACGTGGACGTGTGATTGTTGTTACATTTATATAAGTTAGGGTACGTGGACGTGTGATTGTTGTTACATTTATATAAGTTAGGGTACGTGGACGTGTGATTGTTGTTACATTTATATAAGTTAGGGTACGTGGACGTGTGATTGTTGTTACATTTATATAAGTTAGGGTACGTGGACGTGTGATTGTTGTTACATTTATATAAGTTAGGGTACGTGGACGTGTGATTGTTGTTACATTTATATAAGTTAGGGTACGTGGACGTGTGATTGTTGTTACATTTATATAAGTTAGGGTACGTGGACGTGTGATTGTTGTTACATTTATATAAGTTAGGGTACGTGGACGTGTGATTGTTGTTACATTTATATAAGTTAGGGTACGTGGACGTGTGATTGTTGTTACATTTATATAAGTTAGGGTACGTGGACGTGTGATTGTTGTTACATTTATATAAGTTAGGGTACGTGGACGTGTGATTGTTGTTACATTTATATAAGTTAGGGTACGTGGACGTGTGATTGTTTCTACATTTATATAAGTTAGGGTACGTGGACGTGTGATTGTTTCTACATTTATATAAGTTAGGGTACGTGGACGTGTGATTGTTTCTACATTTATATAAGTTAGGGTACGTGGACGTGTGATTGTTTCTACATTTATATAAGTTAGGGTACGTGGACGTGTGATTGTTTTTACATTTATATAAGTTAGGGTACGTGGACGTGTGATTGTTGTTACATTTATATAAGTTAGGGTACGTGGACGTGTGATTGTTGTTACATTTATACAAGTTAGGGTACGTGGACGTGTGATTGTTGTTACATTTATATAGGTTAGGGTACGTGGACGGGCGATTGTTTAACAACAGTTACAGTTCGGTAGTATTGTACATTTATACATTGATTGATTGATTGATTGATTGATTGATTGATTGCTTTGAAATAAAACTGTTATTTGGCTCCATGAAGTTAACATGTTATCTGTCCTTGTTTAATTCTTCAGTTTGTAATCTAATCGAAAGATGTTTCAGAATTATGCCGACCAACGCTTTAAACAGTGATAAATAAAACGAATTCAACAGTCTGGACCTGGAACTTTGTTGTTATTCATCTTTTAGGGTTTGCCCAAGTTCTTAAATGTTCAGAATGTATCATATTTTCCTGAAGTTTGCGTGTTGGTATCCTCCAACTTCTTGGAAATAAAGTATGATAGATTATCAATAGGCTTAAGGAAAGTTTGACATATGTTCTATTCTAATGCTTCAGTCTCAATATCGGCAAACTAGGGTACTTAAAGTTGTTTAGTACTTCATTTAATTCTACATCTAGTACTTATTCTTTTTATATATAACCTTTCATTCAATACATCAGACTGCTCTGTTACAATAACACCATTTGATTTCTGTATCCTAGGTAGTATTGTGACAATTTAGGCAGGTAATAGAATACGTTGTATCAAACAAATTGATAAGAAGTGTGATTCACGGTGTTTCAACAAAGAGGTTAAGGTAGGAAATGCCCATCGTACTACAAATTGAATTTGGTAAAATGCATATCACAAACATTACGTTCAAAAGGAATCGTCCGTGTGGTATATCAAAACGTAAAAAAGGACAACGCCCACATCGAAATTCAAAACTTTAAAAATAAAACATCCATGTGAAATATCAAATCGTTAAAGGGAAAATGTCAATATGATATATCAAACCGTTAAAGGGAAAACGTCCATATGGTATATCAAACCGTTAAAGGGAAAATGTCCATATTGTATATCGAACCGTTAAAGGGAAAATGTCAATATTGTATATCAACAAGTTAAAGAGAAAACGTCCATATTGTATATCAACAAGTTAAAGAGAAAATGTCAATATTGTATATCAAACCGTTAAAGGGAAAATGTCAATATTGTATATCAAACCGTTAAAGGGAAAATGTCAATATTGTATATCAACAAGTTAAAGAGAAAATGTCAATATTGTATATCAAACCGTTAAAGGGAAAATGTCAATATTGTATATCGAACCGCTAAAGGAAAGTGTCCATATTGTATATCGAACCGTTAAAGGGAAAATGTCAATATTGTATATCAACAAGTTAAAGAGAAAATGTCAATATGGTATATCAAACCGTTAAAGGGAAAATGCCAATATTGTATATCGAACCGCTAAAGGAAAGTGTCCATATTGTATATCGAACCGTTAAAGGAAAATCAAAATGTTGAAAAAAAAAGAAAAATGTCCTTGAGGTATAGCAAAACTTTCAAAAGATAATATCCATGTGAAATATCTTAACGTCAAAAGAAAATGTCAATGTTGTATATCAAAACGTTTAAAATGAAAATGTCCTCGTGGTATATCAAGACGACAAAAATGAAAGGAACCGTCCATGTGGCATATCAAAACGTCCAAAAAAAGCGTCCATGTGGCATTTCAAAACGTCCAAAAAAACCGTCAATGTGGCATATCAAAACGTCCAAAAAACCCGTCCATGTGGCATATCAAAACGTCCAAATAAACCGTCCAGGTGGCATATCAAAACGTCCAAAAAAACCGTCCATGTGGCATATCAAAACGTCCAAAAAACCGTCCATGTGGCATATCAAAACGTCCAAAAAAAAGTCCATGTGGCATATCAAAACGTCCAAAAAAACCGTCCATTTGGCATATCAAAACGTACAAAAAAACCGTCCATGTGGCATATCAAAACGTCCAAAAAAACCGTCCATGTGGCATATCAAAACGTCAAAAAAAACACGTCCATGTGGCATATCAAAACAACAAAAAGAAACCGTCCATGTGGCATATCAAAACGTCAAAAAAAAAGGTCCATGTGGCATATCAAACGTCAAAAAGGAACCGTCCATGTGGCATATCAAAACGTCAAAAAACCCGTCCATGTGGCATATCAAAACATCAAAAAAAACACGTCCATGTGGCATATCAAAACATCAAAAAGAAACCGTCCATGTGGCATATCAAAACGTCAAAAAAAAAACCCGTCAATGTGGCATATCAAAACGTCAAAAAACACGTCCATGTGGCATATCAAAACGTCAAAAAAAACACGTCCATGTGGCATATAAAAACGTCAAAAAAAAAACCCGTCAATGGGGCATATCAAAACGTCAAAAAAAAAATCCGTCAATGTGGCATATCAAAACGTCAAAAAGAAACCGTCCATGTGGCAAATCAAAACGTCAAAAAAAAAACCCGTCAGTGTGGCATATCAAAACGTCAAAAAAAACACGTCCATGTGGCATATAAAAACGTCAAAAAAAAAACCCGTCAGTGTGGCATATCAAAACGTCAAAAAAAAAAGTCCATGTGGCATATCAAAACGTCAAAAAAACGTTCATGTGGCATATCAAAATGTCGAAAAAACCTAACATCCATGGGCATTTCAAAATGTCGAAAAAACCTAACATCCATGGGCATATCAAAACGTCAAAAAAACCGTCCATGTGGCATATCAAAACGTCAAAAA